GATCTTTAACCCAGCTATCTACTTAACCAAGCCTAGAAATGAATAGTGAATAAGGGAAGAGCAAAGGCCAGTTTACTGTCATTACAAATTACAGAAACTGTTAATATCTACAGTAAAATGAACTCTGGGAATTACAGGTACTATGCAGTAAGTGAGTCGAGGGTACAGAGATTCAGGGAAAAAAAAAACCAAACAGATATGAGATGACCAACTGTGTATTTTTTGTGCATCATTACTATTGTGTATTGCTACTATTGAAAAGTGGAATATTTGCATAAAAGAAATAAAGATTTTGTGGATCTTTTACCAGTATATTTAATGCATCCTGAGAATGAACACCAGATAAAAGGAACACTCTGTTAGAATAATCAACTGAAAGTTATCATTAAATGGAAACGTAAATACTAAATCAGAAATAATAAATCCATGCTTACTGTTCTATCTCCCTTTTTTTTTTTTCCCCCCAGGAGTAGTCTCAGGGACACTGCTGCATGTACAGTTAATATAAACATTTATACTGAACTCCTAGATGTTTGAAAAACAAATACTGTAAAGATCAGTAACATTTTAAAATTATCAGTTATGGGAATTAATGCTTACAGAAAAACACCATTCTTTCTTGCCCTACTAGTAGAATCGCATTGTCTCCCTACAGTCTTGTTAGCTCATACTAACTGAAATGCAAATTCTTTCCAACTAATTGGACCTTGTTGAACGTACATGTACAGTACATAGTTATATGCATGTAGATTTTTTTTACTAAATTCCTCTGTAATTATTTTCTTGATTAATATCTAAAGCAGAGACGTGGAACAAAAATCTCTTTAAAGAGTTTACATATTATTGAACATTAAAAAGATAGTAACTGTTGCATGTTTTAACAGCTTAATTAATAATACAGAATAATTGGAACAAAAAGAAGAAAATATTATTTCAGTGTTTAGTCACTTTGAACTATTTGCATTAACCCTTTGACTGAACAATTAACACTAAAATGGTCAGAATGATGGAATTTAGAAAAAAATAAGATATGTTTATCTTACATAGCATATTATGCTGGTCAGATTTTCTTACTGGCGTCACCTGGGCTTTTCCCTATCCTCTCTAGCCGTATGGTGCATTTCTGTGTCGGTAGTTTCACAAGGAGAGAGAAAATCAACAATGTTATGGTTTTTTAAAAGATTCACAAAGCCACACATGTAAATGTAGTTGTCTGCAATAGTAACTAATAATTATTCGTTAAAATTAAAACACAGAAGCAACTCTTAACTTTACATACAGTTCACAAAGCACTTAAAATTCTCAAAACCACAAATAGACAACTGCAACTGCACGCTGTTTTAAGTTCCATTAGAACCTGGATTCTGTAGCTACCTCTTCTGTTCAGCACCCGGGGTATTCCCAGGAGCTGAAGATGTAAAACAATTTCACAGATCCTTTTATCTTTCAGCACAAATGCCATTGGATAGGACTAAAATACTTGCAGAACATATTCTTGATTAAAAATCTATTGAAAATGAGAATATTTTTTTTAAAAAAAAAGCTTTTAAAAGGATTTGTTTTAAATGCTGCTAGAGCCCTTACCTTTCCTATACTGTTTCTGATTCTCATATGAGTTAGCCAAAGGGGAGAGAAAAAATATGTTCCACACAGTTTGTGCCAAACTTACATACTAGCAAGAAGTTCCTGTGCTTTACACAGATGATTCAAAGCCTGTTTCTGCCTCCGAAGGAATTAAGCAATAAGCAAAGGGCAATAGATTACAAAGTACTGGGTTGTAAGCCTGAAATCTGATTATTACAATTTTTGCTAAATTTTATGTAATTTTTTTCTTACTTGTTTCTCCCCCACCTCCTGTTATTGCTGTACATTTACAGAAGGCTTAATCTGCTACTGTAGGAGGTGTACTTCTGTTCTATTTGTCCTGCAATTACTACTTTTATCTCCTTAGTGACTACTACTTTTCATATTCCTGTTTAAATTCAGTGTTTGCTTTCCTGGTTTTATATGCCGGCATTATTGTGCCAAATAAGATGCTACGTAGGTGCCATAAATTTAAGGATGACTTGAGCTGGCCTGGAATTCGCAGACTAAATTTTCTGTCATGTTAGTTGTTGTGTGCGAGAGAAATGTTTCTTCATTTAAAATGTTCTGAAGCTGTGATGTAGAAGTGATGCATTTGACAATTAAAAGATAGACCTTCTTTGATACAGTGATCTGAATATGCTTAGATTTTGTGTAATGTGGCATTCTGGCCAAGATTTCTGCTTGGGAAGACCAGATTTGGATGTATTAGCTAGTCAGCCTAATAACCCTGTACAGACTGTATTGATTTTCTAGGAGAGAGTTTATGAACTAAATAAACTTGAAGTTGGTGTCTTAATAAACTGCTTCTCTCAGTCTGTCACATTTAGTTACTGAGCTCTGCAGTTTAGGGGAAAAAAAAGCTAATTCTGTTACAGATTGTTCACAGCAGGGTCTCCAAATTAGCCCTTTGTTTTGTAATGCCACCTTGCTTGGGCTTGCTTTGAGCACATTTCTCAGTTTTACCCTAATGAGTTGCAACACTGATAATGTGGCTGATGATCTTTCATTGATTTCACTATCACTTGCTTGTCTGGTAATTGATCCGTTGCTGAGCCTCTAGTTAATTATATCGGCTTTGACATGGCCTGGTCCACCGGGAATTCCAAGTCTTGCAGAATAACAGTTTTAATAAAAGAGTCTATTACTGCAGGTGCTTGCTGCTGCATGCCACTTGATTCTGTGTGTGTGTGTGTGTGCACGCGCGTGCGTGCGTGTGTGCATGCATGTGTGTGTGCGGGTGCTTTTTATTCTCTGGGAGAGTAGAGGACTGCAGGACAAGAAAAGAAGGGGGGGGGGGAAGGCTGAGAGGTGGAGATAAAGACAGCAAGCGAGAGCACGCAAGAGATGCAGAACGGAGAGGAGGAAGCTTGCTATTGACAGTGTCCTTAAGCCTCCCACAAAGCCTCCCACAAATAACAGCCATTAGTGGGAAGGTCAGGAGCTGAGCATGCAGCTTGACTGAGGCACTGAGTGCCACTTCAGAAATGAAGAGGCTTGCAAATTTTAGAGAGAGTTTGAGGGGCTGATAGCTTTCAGTAAAGGTACAGCCACTGTTGGCACAACTGACTCCTAAGTGTCATTCTCCCCTCCCCAGTAGAGAATATTTTTATTGAGCATAGGTGGACTTCATATATTTTAAGGCAACAGTTCTTGGGGGTTCTTGCTTGTTTCTTCTTGGATATTGAATTTGCTGCTTTTGAGACCTGTTTGGTTTTTTTTGTTTGTTTGTTGTGTTTTGTTTTTTTTTTTACTTAATGGTGCTGAACTGGAGGAAAGTTTAACAGAAAAGCTTTCAAGACATGTAGGGTCTAGAGGGGAAGGCACATTTGTGTCAACATAGTGTACATCTTCTCATCTTTTCTCATTGCACACTAATGACACAGAGCTGCCACTGAAGCTCTCTTCTGTTTCTTTTGTTGTTTCAGAGAGTGAGGTTTATTGTTATTCCTGAGTTAAGAAAAAAGCAGTGAGTGGTACATTTGTCCTCCTAAATTTGTAGATTTTATTAGAAGATGAATGTTCCTTATGTTGAGAAGGATAGCTTTTTTGTTGGTTTTTTTTATTTGTTTGTTTTTGTTTTTTGGTCTGTTTTTTTGTTTTAGTTTGTGCGGTTTTTTGTTTCTTTAAAACTCTGGCCATTTTTTATGGGATTGCATTAATTTTGTTTTACATTTATCAAGTTTTGTTGCAGTTATGATTTCATGTCTCTATGTAAAGGATGAAGTGGGTAAGATAATTTTTCAAATTAGATTTACTTTGAAAAGCCATTGTAATTAAAAACAGTATTGTAATAGTATTACTTAACCTGTTGTATAGTACTGTACCTTAAGTACGGAAGAAAGATCTTAGAGGAAAAATACTGTTTCTTTTGCGATACTTTTTAACTGTGTGAGACTGGCTTCTTTTCTGCTGTGATTCATTTCTTTGTTCTTAACGATTTGAGAGGTATATTGTATCTGCTTCAACCAGCTACTTAAAACAAAACAAAAAACTTCTTTTGATCTTTTGCGGGAGGGGAAAAAAGGGCTAGCTTTTTCATTTTCTATCCTTTCTTGCTTGCGATGCTGCTTGAGACACTTACTTAGCAGTGGGGAAGGGAAGAGAGGGGTGTGAGAGATGAAATGTGCATGTGACTTTCTGGTTTTATTTCAAAAGGAGTTAGATCATGTCTTTTTTTCCCCTCTTTGGTTAGAGATTTTTTTTGGGATAGGAACCAACTATCCCACAATTCTGTCTGACTAATATTTAGAAAATTACCAGGCCAACTTTTATGTTTTACTTTTAAGTGAATATTGACTGTATTTAAGAGTAAGAGCTTGCTTGCTTGCTTTTTCCTTTTTCTTTTTTTTTTTTTTCTTTTTTCTTTTTTTTAAGGTTTGCTAATCCTGTGTGGTAGGCAAGTGTCAGATATTACATGCTGTACTTGACAGCATTGTTGAGGAAAAGCAGAGAAAGACGAGGAAAGGGACACAGCCTTTTCTTTCTCCCAGTTCACTCTGATCATTGTGCTACTTAGAGAGAATGTGCGTGTGTGTGTATCTGTGTATCTGTAGACTGAAGGGTTAGTGCAGGATGTCATTTGGTGCCTGACAGTGGAGCAGTGTAGTTGACTCTTTGCTCTGCTATCCAATGACATCCAGTGGCTGAGAGTTTGAAGCTGATGGTTGGGTCTCCTTAGTGCTGCATGCACACCTGACAGGCAGCTGTTAAACTGAGCACAGGCGAGCTTGGGGAGTCACAATCTATGCATAAATGATAGGGGTATCTCTGCTGAAGGTGCGAAGGAAGCTCTGACCCTCTCCCCTGAATCCCCCCTTCCCAAATGAAACGCACAGTGCAGCTAGCTTCCTAACTACACTACACTCCTGCTACTGGCTGCCAAGAGGCTCAAAAAATCCACCTTCACTTTTCAGTCAGAAGAGGCAGAAGTGGATGTGAGAGACAGACACACACAGAGACACAGAGAGCGAAAGAGGGCAAGAGACTTGACTTTAAGAGACTCCTGCACTGACAACTCCATGCAGTTCGGAACAAGAACGGCAGCGACCGACTCTGGTTTCATGGGGACATGGCAGAATACTGACACTAACCTCTTATTCAGAATGTCCCAACAGGTATGTTACTTTTGTTTATTTTAAAACATGGCATTTTTGTGCTCTTTCTTTCCGCCTCCTTTTTGTCTTTCTTTCCACATTTCATTTTTGTTTCATTCATCACTACATAGTTAGCCTCTGAACTGTCATAACTATGTCATTGGAATGTGCATGGTTACTTCATTGCTTCCCTAAGGGCTCCTTTTTAAAAGAGGAAAAAATATTAAAGCCTTAAGTAAAAGCAATGCATTTGTTTTAAAGTTTCCAAATAGAGCTTTGCTGGTAATAAGACTGGTTTTCTTTCTTTGTTTGCTTTTGTTTTGTTCCAGTCTTTTTCCCCTTGCTGCTCCCCCCCC